TACATTGGTTGATTCTTGTATATGCCATGACCAGGGACCAAACCTGCAACCTTGGTACATCAGGATAATGCTCCAATGAACTGAGCTACCTGACCAGGGCTCAGTTTAATTTTTTAACAGTTTCAATGACAGAATTTCAGAAACCAGGATAATTAGATTATAGAGTATTCTGGAGGGAGTGTTCATATACAGTAAGTCCTCACTTAACATCTTTGATAGGTTCTTCAACTTTAAGCAAAACAACGTATAACAAAACCAATTTTACCATACACTAATTGATGTAAGAGTTAAGTTTCTATGGCATTTCATAAACCTTATAACAAAACAATGTTGAACAATATATTTAAGGACTTGCTTTATTCATAAATTATACTATTTAAGTAGAAAGCCTGCTTAATATTCTGTTACTATTATTTCTTCTAGTTCCCATACCTTATTGTTTTTTCTGATCAGTGTTTTCATTATTTTATATGTAGAAGGATATTTTTCCCTCAAGTATTTTAATACTCTCAGGCAGTGCTGTCCCACAGAACTTTGATGATAGAAATGTGTGTGCTGCCATACATTAACCACCAGCCCAATATAGCTATTGAGCATTTAAAATATGGCTAGTGCTGACTTCCGGAAACTCAAAACTTACAGAGAATTTTTATGAGTTTATTTAAACCAAACTGATGACATGCCAGAAAGCAAGGTCTCAAATTCTCTAAGAATGACAGTTTCTTTTATACATTGGAAATTATGGAGGGAACCTAAGAAAGATTACATGTAAATAAGATTATGTGCTTCCTTGAGGGTGGTGTAGGGTTTCAGAACAAGCCACCCCAACATGTACCTCAGTGGTGTGGGTTGTTTTGAGCTAAAGGCAACTTAGGTTCAGTTTTAAGAGAAAATTCTGCCCATCCCTTAAACTACCTACAGGACCATGAATTAGGGACTTCACCCATAATAAGAGGTAATGGGTGATAAACTTGTAGACCAACTTCTATGGAAGGGAAAACTTATTTATTAAATATCTGCTCTTATCATTCTGTAATGACCATTTTGTTGGCAGCAAGAATGGCACCCAAAGTATTTGACTGGTGGCGTCAGATTGGACCTTGGTTCAGTAACCTTGGTACTTGAGTTCTGGCAAGGAAAGAACTCAGAGCCAAGCCTCAAACTATAAGAGAAAGTTTATTTAGAAAGTAACAGAAGTAGAATTGAATGGTAGAGGAAATGGGCTCTGGAAACAAGTTACAGAGAAAAAAGAAGGGGCTCTTTGAGCTTAGGAGAGAGAAAGGTAAAGCTAGTGGGTGGGGAGAAGACAAGGGGTGGGGGAAGGTGTGGGCATGCTCTACTCAGTACACTGGGTCTTCTGTTCTAAGGGATTTTAAGGGCAAGGACATCCCAGGGGAGGATCTCAACAGAATATTCATCAGCTTTCCAGGTGTGTTCTTTCAGGGTCATGATCTCTGATTGGTTAGCACCAAGGCCGAGGATCTTTAATCAATGCAGCTGGGCCAGAGGTCAGTGTGGCACTACTTATCTGGTTTTGCTGCTTTTCAGGTCCTGGGGCTAAATAAAACACAACTGAGTCCTAGATGTATTTGTGGTGGGTCAGAACCTCATTGTCCTGGGGGCCTATTGGTTAGGCGCTATTCTTCATCCCTCTGGTTCATTTCCCTTCTAAGGGCATCTAATCCACAAGACTAGTAAAGATGCCACTTTGTTTTCCCAGTTTTGCCTGTTGCTAGGCACCCACAGCTTTCCACCTTGGTGACATTTTCTGTACTTGGGCCATCATCCCCCTTGCTCAACTCATGTCTAACTGCCTACCACAATTTGAAGCCCTCAAGATGCACTATCTCATCTCTAGCACAGAATGTCTTATATACCTAGATCCCCCTTTCTATTTCTAAACCTCTCATGGATGTGGGGTCTCTGACTCTCTTATGTATGCAGGATCCCTAATAGGACAAAAGGCACCTTTTCAGGCCCTCTTTGACAGAGCTAGCTAGACCCTATAAAGCATGACTGACCCTAATTGTTTTGAGTCTTTAACCTCGGGATTAGAAAATTACTAGAAGCACCCTGAAGGCAAAGAAGCTCTGGGAACTTATGAAATAGGACATGCCAGACCTTAGAAGCTGGACTGTGCACCCAAAGATGCACATCGAGACAAGCCGCAGCCTATACTAAAGACCAACTGAAACATCCTGTTCTACAACCACCCCAATCACCTAATAGAAGCTCAAAGCCCCTACCCCTGAGTGCTTCTCTATGCCCATAGCCCTTTCCCTTTTGTGAAAGTAAAAGAAAAACTTCACTCTCTGTACTTCCTTCTCTCTGTGAATTCTTTCATAGCCTATGTCACTGACCAACCTAATAATCCCCATGCATATGTATTAAACTTCGTTATTTTTCTCTTGTTAATCTACCTCATGTCTATTTGATTATTAGACCAGCCAAAAGAAGCTGGAGGGTACAGGAACATTTGTTTCTCCCCTACAGCAGTTATGACTGTGAGGGGTCTGAAAAAGAGGATTACTCTGGCATTTGAAAGGTGTGTTAATCTAGTGCAGAAGAACAATGGATAGGGCTTGATTAAAGCAAAGATAAACCTCTTTATAGGCCTGGGAGATGACTACCTACCACGACCTGCAGTTAAGGATTTTATGAGCAGATAATCCTGTGAGTTAACTTTAGGTCAGATTTATTATAGAATCCCTTTTCTGTTCACACTAGAGCAACTAAGAAACTAAATTTTCAATTTGTTTAAGTTATTCATGATGCCTTTTGAGGATAATGAGGTGAGGAAGATTTTATGTAAGGGTAGGGAGAATTATTGTGATAGGTATAAGGAGCGCTGCAACAATGAGTCTCGCAGTGGGAGTGACATTGGGCTTGTTAAAAAAACAAAATTCAACAACTCACAGATACAGCAAACATACTGGTGGTTGGCTGAAGGGAGAGGGGTTGGGGGGAGCTGTGTGAAAATTAAAAGAAAATTTCAACAAAATGGTGTCACTTGTGCCAAAACCCAAGATACCACACCCAGATTTAATACCTGACCCAATTGCTCTCTTGACCTCTTCCAGAAACAAAGCAACTAGTCTGCAATTTTCTGATTATCATCAAGGGAGAAATTTGTCAAGTCGTCCCTCTCCATTCCTCTCAAACCCCAAGAGGCAATCTGCATAAAAACCCTTGTCTTTCCCCCATCCCTCCAGTAAAAGATGTTCTGGTATGAAAATAATCCTTCTTTTCTTTTGTTAGTAGCTCCCTCGCCTCACCTTTCCTTTCTTAAAAAAAAAACCCCTCCAATTTGTAAAACCCCTAAGACAACCCTTCTAATTACTAGATGTTGCGTGGGTCAACGGCCAGCAGTGATCACAGAATGCTGTGGATGGCTTGTCGAAAAACACGCCAGAAAAAAAACATGCACAGAGACAGACTAGTTTCTGTGGGGAAGTAGGGACAGAATGGCCACCCCCCCTAGTGGGGAGCGCCCCGATTTACCATCCATTCCTGCTTTTATTGGGCTCATTTTGCATAATAATTCAGGTAAAGTACAGTACTCATTAAGGGGAAGTAAGGAACCATAGAAAACAAGGAACTCTGCCGGTCTATTTTGAGTCGGTGTGAAAGAGCTGTAAGACTTTGAGGAACAAACTAACTTCCTCCTTGGACCCCTTTCATTCAACTGAGAGCATTCTAAACAAAGAAGGTTTCACAGTAATTTACATATTCTTTCTTAGGCCTGATCACCCAGGGAATCCGCTCTTTTCAGTACAGAGCTGCACCACCCTGTCATTGTTTCAGGCTTAGCACGGGAACTAAGGCAACCAAGAGATAAGGAGATTTTCTCCCAGAAGATGAGAACTCAGGCTATGTCAAAGCCGAGGAGCAAGGGTCCATCACCCCCTTTTGCTGCAGCCCCCCAAGTCCTTCTTTTGGGGGGCCTCCCAAAAGTGATCGTGCCTGTCTTAGTTCGTTCCCCCCTTGGGGAATCTTACCCGTCTTTGGCTAACCGACAAAGCTTTTTGGGGTTCAGTCATGAATAAAGCAGCAGAAGCAGCATTCCTGCCAGGGAGATAAGCTTTTGTCTCCTTGCTGGCTTACGGTTCCAAGGGCATTCCCTTAGCTTTGGCCTAGGCGGGGGTTTCAGCTTCTGATACCAGTCAGGGCGGTTCCCAACAACTAGATAGGATGATTAATAAAGCCAATTTATTTTTAAAATTATGCTATTATAGTTGTCCAGATTTCCCTCCCTTTCGCCCCCTTCACCCAGTGTCCCCTACTCCCTCAGGCAACCCCCACCGTTGTTCACATCCATGGGTCATGCCTGTAAGTTCTTTGGCTACTTCATATTCTATATTGTACTTTATATCCCCATGGCTATTTGTACTTCTTAATTTCCTCCCTTTATCACCCATTTCCCCCTCCCAACTGGCACCCTGCAGGTAACTAATTTTCTCTTGATTAAAGTCAACTTAGATCTTCAAACTTACTTAGCTTAATTTTGTTTTTTAACAAACCTTTCATATTTTTATGGAGGTATTATAATAGCACACACACGAGTTTACCAACAGATAACACTAACTTTTAAATTGTGTAACAATCTGTATTCTCCCTAACTCTTGGGCAGGTGGCCTCTCCTTGTGCTACAGTGATTTGTCACAAATCTCCCTGGCATCAGGTCTGATTAACATTCTCCAAGAGGGCTGAGTAATTTCTTCCCTTCGCCGCTTACCTGACCTAGATGATGTTTTTTAAAAAGTAACCGGAAAGCTAGAAGAAAGAGGTCTTACAAAACTTTCTTGGCCTGTAGCATTCACGTGAACCTCGCGCTACTGCACCTCCTTCTTGGGCAATTCCTTGCGAGGATGGGGGGCGGGCCGCCTTCTGTCCAAAGACCCTGACTGCAGCCTCTGGGTGGTTCCTAGGCCCCACCCCTCTCGACAAGGACCCGCTCCGCCCCACCCCTGCCCTGTGAAGCCTGAGAGCCCCGCCCCACCCCGCGGGACGACCCTGAGGCGCGCCAGTCGACGCGCTGACGTACGACGTTCCAGGTACTTTCCCCAGCAGCGGATCGGGCTTACGTGGGGGCGGGGCGGGGCGCGGAGTGCGCATGCGCCACAGCCCCAGCACTCAATCCCGAATCGTGAGGGGACCTGAGCTTCTCCGCCGGCAGAGGCTCCGTTCGCGCTAGCTCGCTTCATCGGCCATGTCTGCCACCATCGAGCGGGAGTTCGAGGAGTTGGATGCTCAAAATCGTTGGCAGCAGCTCTACTTGGTGAGTCGAGGGTTCGCACAGCAGGCGCTGTAGTCCCGGGACCAAAGCTCGCGCCCGCTGGCTCTCTTCCGCCTCCCCCGCCTCCCGCTGAGGGCGGAAGTGGCCGCGCGCAAGCAGCGTCAGGGCTGCGCCTGCGCCGACGGTGTCTCTAGTCCCTTGTGAAGAAAAGACAGTAAATGAAGGGGCTGTCCTGTGTAAACGCGAGCGCAGAATGTGTTCTAGAAGGCTGCGACGCTAAAGCGACCTCGTGTGGCGGGCGTGGGTGTGTTTTCCGTCGCCCGGTGGGGTTGGAACCTGTGCGGCTGGCAGTGCCCTTGGTAGTTGGGGTTGGGCGAGGGATCTGTGAGACCTGCGTCACTCCAGGAGGCTGCGGGGCGGGGGGGGGGGTGGGGGACGGCGAGGCCCTGGGTAACAGTAGGGAGGGCTGGGGGCTGGCAGCTAGTCTTTGGGACCTCGTAGCGGGAGGGAGGCAGCGGCTTCGAATTGGGCTTCACATTTGTTTGCCGTCCTCTGTACCTGGTTTTGTTCGCGGACACCTTTTCCCCCCGGGCCGTGACACCCATTTTAGAAGGTTCTGCGGGCCCTTGCCTCGGTTGAGTGGATGTTACCTGGGCCTCGAAATGGTAGTGACTAAACCGGAGTGGTGGCGAGAGGTCCTGGCGATGAGTAATGTTCATTTTCTCAGTGAGCCCAAGGCCTCAGCTGTGGGTCGTCTTCCACAGAGGTTCCAGGAACAAGAATAGGCTTTCGTTGTATTAAATAATGAGGTCTTTCTCTTTTCAGTTTTCTTTACTGAGGCACACTTTACATAACAGTTAAATACGCATTTTATGTATGTAGTTGAGCGGGTTTCATAAACATATACCCCAGTGCAAACACCATTCAAATCAAAATAACCTTTCCATCACCTCAGAAGGTGCTGTCTAACCCCTCCCGAACCCATAGGCTCCTACTGTGCTGATCTCATTACCATGAAATACAACAACCGTTCCTGTTCTCGAAGTCGTGGAAGTGGACTCACATAGTTGAAGTCTAGGGACTAGCTTCTTTAGCTCATCTAGAGAACCTTTAATTCAAATGGGACTTGATCTTGTCTCTTTTAAAATGACTTAATTGCCTGTTCTCTACTGTTTAATTATTAGCATATTATTCCCAAGATTGAATTGAGTGGTTGTGAGTTAAATGCTGCTCCTCCTGGTGGTTCACTCTGTGTACAGTAAAAGAGAAGTCTTTCCTGTAAATCTTGATGGTCCTGGGTTTTTCCCCATTCCATTTAATTAGATGACAGTTAAAAAAATGTTTTGTCATTATGTTCATAATGTAACATTTTCCTCTTCAACACAATAGCGGGAAGTATTATAAATGTCCTGATTCATATGGGTACAGAGTACATTAGGATAGGGCAATAACTTCAAAGAATGCTGGTAAAGACTTTCCCAAATATAGAAAAATTTAAATGCAAATTCTAGTAGGAATCTATGTGAGAGCCTGCCAGCTGTGTCTTTTCCAGTTACATTTGTTTTAGCAGAGGCTGCTCTCTCCAAGTTGCGAGTTATGTATTAAAATACAGATTTGAGAAGAGAAAAGTGAATGCTAGAAATTAGTTCAGCTTAACATTTTGGTTAAGCAGTTTGATATAGACAGACACAGACATAAATATAGATATTCCTTGAAAATTCAGTGAAAATTGTAATCTTTCTGATCAGGAAAATGCACTTGTATCCACTGAAAATTTCACATTTAGTTTCAAGGATATCAGGAAACCCTTCTGTGGATTCCTGCCTAGGTGTCCTTTAGTTTATTGGATTGGTTATTATTTTTTCCTAATGGAGGAACAACAGTATTAGTTTGGTCAGGAGAAATCATTCAACACACACTGGTGTTACAGTAAAAGTAGATCTCAAACTGAGAAAGTTAGCAATGCAAATAAATCTAGCCTAGAAAGAGTGTAGTGTTTTCCTTTGACTGTAGAATATCTATTTAGCCATTCTGCCAATACGTGCTGAGTACCAGTAGCATTCCAGCCCTTGCTGTGGGATTTGGAGATTCAGCAGAGAATGCCAATAACCAAGTTTCTGTTCTTGAGGACCTCACATTCTAGTATTTGTTCTCTTGAGGTCCTCATTGCAATTCTATATTTTCATTCATTCATTTATAACATGTCTGCTATGAGTCAGTGTTAGACTGAGTCCCTGCTCTTAAGGATACAGCCTAGTGGGGAGTAGTAAATAGGTAAGCAGACAAAAATGTAAAAGTAATAAGTACAAAAGCTAGTGTTAAGCACACAGGGTACTATATATCCCCCAAAAGGGTCCAGTGGGAGTTCTGGTGAAGCTTCCTGGAGGAGGGAGGGCCTTACCTAAGTCTTGAAGGATAAGTTGACCAGGTGAAGAGAAGAGGGGGAGGGAATTAGTGTTCCAGAAAGGAAAGAAAGGTATTCAAAGGCACAGAGCATAGTGTGTCAAGAGAACCACCAACAATTTAGACTGATGAGGAGTGTGGTGTGAATTAGAGGTTCTCAAGAGTAAGAGCCTAAGAAGCTCTTGTAAATCAGACCAAGGAATTTGAGCTAGTTGATAAATGTCACTGAGGAATTTTAAGCCTGGAAGTACCATGTTCATATTATATTTACTTAGTAGCAAGATCATTCTACCAGTGAGTTGAATGAAGGCTAAGTGTAGGTAGGTAGCACAGGGAAGTAGTAGTCTGTTGGAGTAAACCTGAAGAGAAATGTTGAGCTCCTGAACTAAGGCAATGGCAGTAGGAACGAAAAAGAGAGAGAGATTTGAAATGGTAAGGGAATAGATGTATTTGATTTTGAAACTATTCAACTCGGAGTACCTGTAAGACACAGAAATGCAAATAGTTTAATATAGTTTAATATATATATTTGGAGTTCAGGAGAGTCTGAGCAAAAATATGATTTTGGACTTTTTGAGCACAAAAGTGGTCTTTGAGGTCCTGGATATGGGTGAGTTTACCTAGGGAAAATATGGGGGGGGGGTTGGAAATGCTGAAGGCCAAGGACAAAATCTTGGCAGACAACATTTAAGGGCATAGCCTACGTAGAGAAAAAGATGCTTGCAAAAAAAGACTAGGGAGAAATAGCCATAGAAATGGGGAGAAAATCAGTATCAGAGAGAGTATGGAGGGAGTTGGTCAGCAGGGCCACATGCTGTAGATGGGACAGCTAAGGTCAAAACTGAAAGGGCCTATTGAATTAATGACTAGGACATCAACAGATACCTTAAAGAGCAGTTTCAGTGGAGTACTGAAGTCAGATGCCAGGCATTGAAAAGACAAGGTGGGAAGAAGTAGTAATGAGCAAATGTACACTGCTATTTTAAGAAGCCCAACTTACTGAGATGGCATTGGGAAAGGTAGCTAAAATGAAGCATGATTATGTGACTTTTCTATTTAAAACCTTTGGTGATTGCCATCACTTGTAATGTAAAATTCAGGCCACATGTCCCACCTCCCAATATGACTTTCTCCTCTTTTCCATTAGGTTCTGTTCCTTTAAATGTGCATGTTTGTTCTCCCGTTGGGCTGTTATAAATGTAATCCTCTTTCCATTAGTACAGCTTTTGCCCCTTTCCTTTCCCCTTTTGCTTAACTGCCTCTTACTCATCCCCGAAGTCTCACTTCCTTAGAGGGTGACTTCACAACCCTCCCAAGGCAGGGTTTGATCTCCTGCTAAATATTTCTGTAGCATCCCACGACTTCCCCTTTCATAGCAGTGCACTGGATCAAATTCGGCAACAGATTACTTAAGGAACAAAATTTGCATTTAGCAAGCCACTTTTGCTTGAGTAGGGAAAGGATGTTTAAGTGGGCTTTCTGCTTTGTATGGCACAGCAGGGGGTGATATTTATGATAATGTTTCAGAAGAGTTGTGCTTTTTTAGCAATGCTTACTGAATAAGGAAAAGAAAGTCTTTACTCTTTTATTTTTACTTTAAAATTTTTTTCTAATATTTTATTTTCAGTTGCAGTTGACTACAATATTAAATTAGTTTTAGGTGTACAACCCAATTATTAGATATTTTATCGTATAACTTAGGAAGCGATCACCTCGATAAATCTAGTACCCATGTGCCACTATATATAGTTCGTACAATATTATGGACTATATTCAGTATGCTGTACTTTACCTCCCTGTGACTATTCTGTAACTACAAATTTGTACCTCTTAATCCCTTTACCTTTTTCATCCATCCTCCCAACCCCTCTTTTAACTGGCAACCATCAAAATGTTCTCTGTATTTATGAGTCTGTTTCTGGTCTACTTGTTTGTTTATTTTGTTTTTTAGATTCCACATATAAGTGAAATCATGGCATTTTGTCTTCCTCTGTCTGACTTACTTCACTCAGCACAATACGTCCTAGGTCCATAAATGTCATTGCAGATGGCAAGCTTTCATTCTTTTTTATGGCTGAGTCATATTCATTGTATATGTACACCTCTTCTTTATCTGTTCATCTATTGATGGACACTTAGGTTGTTTCCATATCTTGGCTATTGTAAATAGTGCTGCAATGAACATACAGATGTATACGTCTTTTCAATTTAGGGTTTTAAATGTCTTCAGATAAATACTGTCTTTGCCTCTTGTTATATAGCCTTTGTTTTAAAGTCTTACTTTTGTCTCATATAAATATTGCTACCCCAACTTTTTCTTTATGTTTTCCTTTTCATGAAATATCTTTTTCCATCTCTTTTAGTTTCTGTGTGTCTTTCAATGTGAAGTGAGTCTTTTGTAGACAGCATATGTAAGAGTCTTGTTTTTGTTATCCATTCAGCTTCTATGTGTCTTTTGATTGGAGCATTTAAAGTAATTGTTAGTGGATATGAATTTATTGCCATTATATTCATATTGTTTATTTTTTAAAATTTTGTATTTATTTTTTATTGTATTATTTATTTATTTTAAAGTATATTTTGTTGGTTATGCTATTACAGTTGTCACATTTTTTTCCTTCCCTTTATTCCCCTCCACT